TTTGTACTCAGGCGGCCACATGAGGTGTTCTGTACAGGATGGGGACCCTGCAACCATGTGAGGCCTGCGAACTGGAGAGCTGAGGAGAGGGGAGTATCTGCCCTCGGACAGTGGCCCACTGTTAAACAGTGTTGAACTTGCACCCTGTATTTGCTTAAAACAATGCTTTCTTTTGTCACTTGCACATAATCTAATGAACCCTTCCTGGCAAATGACAGGTCCCCAGACACCAGCAGTTCAGTGACTGATGGGTGTTGAGCTCTTCACCGGCATCTGATGTGACATAAATCAGCCCAAACATCTCAGAATCCTTCAGAGTTACTGGAAATATTTTCATTCCGTGTAAATGTAATCCCTTTGAATACTTAAATAATTCAGATTTGAATATACTCTAAGTGGCTCATAAACCCAAATTGAGTGGAAGCAACAACGGGGGAGAGGAGAGGAGGCCCCGGCTGCCTGCCTGGGGAGGAGGAGCAGGACCTTGTGTCTGTGAGGGGGTCTGCTGCCAAGGACTGTCACGCCTACCCCTGCAGAGAAGGCAGCTTCAAGGCCACGGTCAATCTGCAGACTGTGGTTGAGGGCTCACAACCAGGTTTAGGCATGTAAACTTTCATCTTGCAGTTTTTCAATTTAGGGAAACTCATGCTTAGGTGAATCATTTTTGCTTTTTAAAAAAGGCATTGTTTTTTCCTTTCCTCATTGAATCAGTTTTACTGGAGTACTTTTGGGACCCTGTGGGGGTCAGGGCTGTCTTGGGGCAGATGTCTCTGCTCTCGGCAGGGTCTGGCGTGAGGTTTCTGTCCCTGCCTCTCTTGACACCCTTGGCCCTTTCCACATGAGCTCCATCTCTCTCACAGCCCCCAAAGGCCTTTATACAGTCAATAGTCAGATTTGCCTTCTCTTCTGGCCTTCCCATTTCATCTAGAACCTTCCAACCATTGTCCGTGCTGGCCCTGGAGCCTTGGGTGGTGGGGGCCCCAAAAGTTGCTGTGCTCATTACTAGGTTTTTTGTTTTTGAGACAGAATCTCACTATGTCACCCTGGGTAGAGTGCGGTGGCATCACAGCTCACAGCAGCAACCTCAAACTCTTGGGCTTAAGTGATTCTCCTGCCTCAGCCTCCTGAGTAGCTGGGACTACAGGTGTCTGTCACAACGCCCAGCTATTTTCTTATTACAATTGTCATTGTTGTTTAGCTGGCCCAGGCCAGGCTTGAACTAACCAGCCTTGGTACATGTGGCTGGCGTAGTAACTACTGTGCTATGGGTGCTGACCCTAACAGTTTTTTTTTTTTTAAGTTCTTCAAAGTTATGTTACTATTCATGAATGACAGCTGAACTGTGGGGTCAGTTGTATCTGAGAAATAAATATTCTTTTAATTGGGAGAAAGGAAGCTCTGGGATCTACATTGATCAACTGCAGCTGAATTTCCTCAGGGTCTGTACAGCTGCAGGGCGCTCCCAGGCTGTGTCCTGGGAAGCCTGTTGCCGGGCACTGGAGGGTGCTCCCACCAGGGATCAGGTAGCTGGGGGATGCGTCCTGTCAGCTAGGTTTACTGTTTCCCCCCAGCCTCACTCCTGGAGTCCATGATTTTGTTTAAAATGAAAATTCTCTTTAATTGAATGTTATGTTACTCTTAATACTTCAAATAGAAGAAAGGCCCTGGAGGAGTAAATGCCCAGCAGTGGGTGTTGGTGTGAGTCCCCAGTATCAGACAGAGACTGACCATGGCACAGTCTCTCAGGTGGAGAGGGTCAGACTCTGCGTCACCATTGTCAGGACATTTCCCCCTGAGGACGGCATCTGAGGGTGGATCTGGCCCTTCTGGGGTGTTGCCCTGCAAGCTTGGTCAGGGCAGCTGGAGCTTCTGCATCCTCTCAGGCTCTGGAGGCTCCAGGTGGTACTTCAGGCTGCTCTGAGAGCTAAAGAGCAGAGGCCTAAGGAGGAAGCCATTTGGGTGCTGAGACCATGCAGGTGCGGCTGGCACGAGTGAGTGCCTAGGCATTCGGGCAAAGTCTGTGACTAGGGGTACCCAGAGAGAGTGTCTGAAGACCCAGAATCATCTGCTGCTCAGGCCACAGAGACATCTAGAAAGGCCTTGGGGATGTGGTCATCAGAGAAACTTCCTGAAGAAATGCGTGTTTCAGATGGCGACCGGCAGGGAGGGACCCATGGGGCGGAAGTTCTGTGTTCAGTAGTGAACACAGAACCAGGAGTGGATCAAGAAGGAAGCCTGTCCCTGTGAACACATAGTTTCATACATATGTTTTTGACATTCTACTTACCCTTCCCAGGTTCCACTGAAGTGTCAGGGTGTGTCCACGGCCCTGTCCCGTCCACTTCCATTCTGATTACCTAGTCAGCATCTGCCTTCTTACTGGAGGGTGGATAGACGCTGGCAGTACCTTCTGCGCTTTTTGAAGTGAAAGTGCTGAGTTGGGAAACGTAGCAGGAAAACCTCTGAGTCTGTGCTGCTTACCAACATGTCTGTTTATGTGGGATACACATAGTGCAGAAATGGGCAGGTCGCTTTAAAGAAACACTGCCTAGCCAAGGTGTTATCTTTTATACAATTTTTGGTAAAAATACAGAGCAGAGTAGAGGCAAGAGGCGCTCTGTCTTGCAGGTAGAGCCCCTGATGGCTGCAGGACAAGGCCCTCCCAGTGCAGCCAGAGTTACCGTCAGATGAAACTCAGCCTCACTGCCTCCCTCCGGCTCTGGTGCTCCTGCCCTGGCTGCCTTCCTGCTTCAGTGGGACTGAGAGTGCCCCTGAGTGCAGAGTATGTGGTAGCCCAGGGGTCTTCTTGGGGATGGTCCTGGTGCAGAATACTGGGGTCACACAGGGGCAGAGGACCCCTGCCTGATGAGCTTGCTGTACCACGGCCTGGGCTCCCAGGCTCAGCAGAGCCTTCCTGAGTGGTCACCATGACATTCAGGCCAACTTCTACAAGGGCCACTGCCAGCCTGGATACCCAGGGGCTGGCTCTTTCCTCAGTAGCTTCACCTTTTTCTCTAGGAAGTAGCTTTTGGGGGTGATTTTTTAAAAAGACTCTAATCTAAATTTTAATAGTAGGTCACAGCTTTTTTCATCAAGTAACCAGTGACTATGTAATCTGGGGAATATCCATTCATCCATTAGTCCATTTATCTGTAGACAAGGGTGCATCAGTCCAGGGCTGGGTATTATGGCTGGAGCGGATCTCGGGGATTGCCTTTGTGTTCTTAATGGGTGGCCAGGCTGGGTATGGCATTGGGGATGGGACACTGGGCTCCACTAGTTGCCACGTGCGACTGTGTGGAAAGGAAGGACTCCTGAATGCTGAATGTACACACCCTGTGCTCTCTCGGCTTCAGGGGAGCTCTGCGATGCTCCTGTACTCTGGAAGGGTGTCCTGTTGTGAATGGGGAGGCAGGACTTGGCACAGCCAGGACCAGCCCCATTTTCTGTCTGAGCTGGAGGGGCCTTTCCGGCCTAGGGGCGTCCTGAGCAGGACTTGCCCCAACAGCTTCTGATTTCCTCCATCGTGCTGCTGCCACTCTTGTCACGGCTCTGCCTCCCCCAGTGTCTGGGATTTCTAGAAGGTAGCCCATGGCTCTGTGAGACTGGGGGCTGCTGGACAGGGGCTCAGGGTGCCCTCAGGGGGAAAGGCCATTGGGGATAGCAAACAGCAATGAATGGAAGGACGTCCTGATGGCAAGGATTCTAAAAGACGGATCATCAGAGAGGGTGGTTGGGTGGCTACTTGTGGAAATAGATTCCTATCTACAGGGGTACTAGTTAATAAATACTAGGGCATTTGTAGGGGTACTTTGAGGCCCTTAATTTTGGTTGGGTTTGTCCTTGTTGGTTTCTGAACCAGGACACAGCAGAAGGGCAGTTGTGTCCTCGAGTAGAATGTCTTCAGGTCAGTGTACATGAACCCGAGATGGAGATAAGGTTTCCATGTGCTCCTTTCCATTACTCAGAGACCTTGGAATACTCATCTCTCAGCCTGTGATAATGAGGTTCCAAGATGTTATAAAAGTCTTCTCAAATGAGAAACCCAAAAGCATGTCTTGCTCGTTTAACTTTCTGATCGCACTAGTAATTTTAAAAATGTTTTATTGGCTTGTAATTAACACATAATGATTCTTCAATCCGGCTGTGCCTTTGCCCTAAGAGACGGATCCCTAGGCCATGAGGATCTGCACTAGGGGGACCCCAGCATCTATGTTTTTATTATTCCTTGAGGGATTTTCTTTGTAGCAAGTGGTTGGGGCATCTTTGAAGTGATTAGCCTGTGAAAACTTACTTAAGTGTTTCGGTCCCTGTATCTGAAACTCGTCCTTCCCTTCCTCCATCACCCATTCATCCGTTAGTCCATCTATCTGTCCATCCATCTGTCCCTCTATCTCTCCATCTGTCCATTCATCATCCATCCTTTTGTTAAACAAACGGAACACGTTTTATGTGCCAGGCACAGTCCTAGGTTCTGAAGAAAGCTCTGAACAGCGAGTGAACCAAAACAGACTAAGGCAGGCAAAATGTGCTGTACTGTGAAACTTGGTTTTACTCACTGGAGAGAACGAGGTGAATGAGTGAATATGTGGAGTGTTACACTGTGATACGTGGTAAACTAGAGAAGGTTTTCCCAGGTGTGGGGTTAGGGGACTGAAAGTAAGCTGGGTGGTGGGAAGGCAGTTTTTGAGTACAGAGCAGAAGATGATGCTGGGAGCCGCAGGGCAGCTGTCTGGGGGCATCGCAGCAGCGGGAAGTGGGGGAGGGGTCTTGTGATGGTACTGAGGAAGGAGGGCTCTGGGGACCCAACTTGTTGGTCAGTAGGACAGGGGTGGTCCCTCTGATCTGTCAGGCTGTGTGATTTCAGGAACGTTGCTGAGGCCCTCTGCCTGGGTCTGGGGCAGGGGGCTGGCAGATGACCAGCCCTGATTCTGAGGGCTCTGATGTGTGTGGTCTGTGTTTCAGGACTGTTCCTCATGCTGCCTTCTTTCTCCTTCCAGAACACTACAGCTATGTGTCCTCCGGCATCAGCTCCGCCCCACCGCTCCCCACAGCACACCCCTCCCTGCCAGCCCCGTGCCACAACCTGCAGACCTCTACCCCGGGCATGTCGGCTGTCCCTGCAACAAGCCACCCTGTTGGCTACGGGGCGGCTGTGGACAGTGGGTCCTCAGGGTACTTCCTCTCTTCCGGCAGCATCAGGCCCGATGGGGCCCCGGCCTTGGAGAGCCCTCGAATCGAGATCACCTCGTACCTAGGTCTGCACCACAACAGCAGCCAGTTTTTCCACGACGTAGAGGTGGAGGATGTTCTCCCCAGCTCCAAGCGGTCACCTTCCACGGCCACGCTGAGCCTGCCCGGCCTGGAGGCCTACCGCGACCCCTCGTGCCTCAGCCCGGCCAGCAGTCTGTCCTCACGCAGCTGCAACTCCGAGGCCTCCTCCTACGAGTCCAACTACTCGTTCCCCTATGCGTCCCCCCAGACCTCCCCGTGGCAATCTCCTTGTGTGTCCCCCAAGACCACGGACCCTGAGGAGGGCTTTCCCCGCGGCCTGGGAGCCTGCACCCTGCTGGGGTCCCCAAGACACTCCCCATCCACCTCGCCCCGCGAGAGCATCACGGAGGAGAGCTGGCTGGGTGCTCGTAGCTCGAGGCCAGCGTCCCCCTGCAATAAGCGGAAATACAGCCTCAATGGCCGGCAGGCCCCCTGCTCACCCCATCATTCGCCCACGCCATCCCCGCATGGCTCCCCACGGGTCAGCGTGACGGAGGACACGTGGCTGAGCAACACCACCCAGTACACCAGCTCTGCCATCGTGGCGGCCATCAACGCCCTGACTACCGACAGTAGCCTGGACCTGGGCGACGGTGTCCCAGTCAAGTCCCGCAAGACTGGCCTGGAGCACTCGCCCTCAGTGGCACTCAAGGTGGAGCCGGCCGGGGAGGACCTGGGCACCACCCCGCCCATGTCTGACTTCCCACCCGAGGACTTCCCCGCCTTCCAACACATCCGGAAGGCCTCCTTCTGTGACCAGTACCTGTCAGTGCCGCAGCACCCCTACCAGTGGGCTAAGCCCAAGGCCCTGACCCCCACGTCCTATGTGAGGTAAGCTGCTGGACGGGGGGAGGGAGGTGGGGGTGGCAGGGGCTCCCTGGAGCTCTGGAGGCCAAAGTCAGGGCAATGTCAGCAGGTCCTTCTGGGCTGTGAGCAGGGTCTGTCCCAGGCCTCTCCTTGAGATTCTGGAGTTTGTGGTAAACCCTTGGTGTTCTGAGTTCATAGAAGCAGCCCTGGATCTCTGCCTTCCCTGCATGCAGCTTTCTCCCTGTATGGGGTGTGCCTCCAAGTTCCCCTTTCATACTGACTCTGGTCTTGCCAGGTTAGGGGCTGCCTGCTGGCCTCGATTCCTGCAAAGACCTCTTTCCCTTAAGGTCACATTCTCAGCTACTGGGGGTTAGGCCTTCGATGTGTGCGTCCTGGGGGCACATTCTGCAGGTTCATAGACAGGTGCACACAGCTGCCTCTTCAGTGATGCCAGACTGAACCCTCCTGCTCACGCTTTCTTCTCCAGTCTTAATTGCTGTCACCACGTGGGGTGCAGATGGGACCTCAGCTCAGCAATCCCCCAGAGCAGCCAACTTGCTGCGTTTCGAGGACAACATAGCCGCCTCTTCCTGGGAGACTCACTGGCACATGCTGGCAGCCTGGCTGGAAAGCATAGGCAGGTCTTGGGTTATGGTCTTAGTTTTTAATGGTGTGAGGGTTGTTCACTCTCTGCTTGTCATCTCAGCCAGCCCAGTGTTTTTACTTTTGACTAAATGGCTTCCCTATCAGGCGGGAAAGTGGCTTGGCAAGGTACTTTCTGCCCTGGGTTTCTATCTGAGGCATGAAAATGTCCACACGGTGGTCCCCATGGCCCGTAACAGCAGGACTGAGGCCTGGTCCCTAGGGCGGCGTCTTCAGCTACTCACAGCCCTCTGTGGGCAGCCAGGGTGTTCCAGGCGTGGTGTTTTCTGGCTTTTGTTTTTCCCTGCTCTATTTTTCATTAGAGGGCATTGTGGAAGCAAGATTGGGCAGTGGGCGGCCAGTCTCAGCAGGGTGTGCCTGTGAGGTGGATGTGGGTGGCTTAATTCCAGGCTGTGATGGGCTGAACCTTGTTGGAAGTTGGTGGCCCAGAAACAGTCAGAGCGCCGGCAGCTCTTACGCACTCAGATGGTACCATGTTTAGGGTCCCAGGCAGTAGGGATGTTGCAAGGGGTGGGAATTACTCCAACTCTTCCTGATTTGGGCTGGCGCCTCTCCCATCCTGTTAATACCATGCGATCTGAAAGGCTGATGTGTTCAGAGTTGTCATCAGAACTAGTCTATCTCAGGACCAGGATTTAATTCATAAACAGAGTGACTTAAAAAGTCCACTTGGTGGCATTTGACAAATTTAAGAACTGTTTATGCCTGCTATATCATCACTCTTATTTACTTTAAGTATAATAAAAATAAAGAATGTTTTAAGCTGACAAGCATATAGTCACGTGATTACTTTGTGTTATGACTGCCTGCGTTTTCACAGACAGTGAAGTCATTGTCACTCAGGATGACGCCATCCCATGTAACCGTGATGGGAGAGTGAAGAGTCCCCAGGAAGCTGCTCAGCCTCGGGAGATGCTCTGCCCTGGAGTCCTGGCTTTGTCCGCAGGAGTCGATCACCAGGGTCTACAGCGGGGTGTCCAGCAGGGCAGGCTTCTTCTCAGCCTGGGCTCTATTCCTGGCCTCTGCCTACCTGTGTCCCTTCACATCGTCTCTTCAGTGTGTCTCTGTCCCAATGTCCCCCTTTTGTTAGATGCCAGTCACATGGACCAGGGCCTGCCCTGACCACCCCACCTGGGCCACTGCAAACACCCTTTCTCCAGAAACCGACACACTGGGGGTTAGGGCCCCAGACTGTGAGTTTTGGGGGACACAAGTGAGCCCTCATAGCCTGTCTGGGCAGCTGAGTGAGGGGCGGGATGCTTTAAGGTGGAATCTGTCCCTGGTTCCTGCTTGTCTGTGCAGCAGTCGTGCTCAGGAGCTTTGGGGTTTCCTCTGCCCCTGTGGGACCTGCCTTTGATTCAGCAGTTGGAAGCATAGGTTGCAGTGTTTTTCCTTTGCTGGAGAGTTTTAGTGATACTTCTGTGGCCAGATGGCTCTGTTACCTTTATCTCTTGGTCACAGAGTGCCTCTGGTGAGCTGTGATGTCCATGACATTCCTGTAGGTTGTACAAACAAACACCACTGGTGAGTGCACCAGCCTATCTTCGGGGCTTTGCAGTTAACCTTTCCCACTGTTTTGGTTCCACATCAAAATATGTTTCCTGGTCCCTGGAGATATGTTTCCATGTGCTCTCGTTAACAGTTGCTCTGGGGCAGTTAGGAGGCAGGTTGAAATGTGGTGTTAAGTTATTTTGCTGGTGGTGGAGGGGGGACTTCCTTCCCTACGAGCACCTTTCAGTCTGTGCCCGTGAGTGGGCCTGGTGCACAGTCGCACATCAGCAGAGCTCCAGCTGTGCCACTGGAGGTGCTGTGTTTTTAATTATCTCCAAAGTTTGGGGTAGAGAATTCACTGCAGCACAGTGGGCTGCCCTGTGGCCATCCTGTGCTCCAGCCCCATCTGGCATGGAAGGGGCCTCTAGAGGGGCAGTGCGCTATGCTGCTCTTCTGCCGAGGGCTTTTGGGCCTGGGATCCCCTCCTGCCAAGTGCCTTTTCAGTGGGTTGGCATCAGGGCCCCTGAGTCTGTGCAGAGATCTGACAAGCCCACGGGGCTTCAGAGACACGAGAGCCTTGCTGCAGCTGAAGAAACGGAAATGCTTCTGAAACTAGTAAGAGGACTTGATAGAATTTCTGCTTTTAGAGTTGAGATATTTTTAGGTTTAACTGAATGATGCTTCTACTGTTAAAGCGTAGAAATCACAGAACTCACAGGTAACTGGCTAGAACCACCTGCCAGTAACAAATCAGAATTGTACGCGGCACATCCTAGCGCCAGATGAGGCAGCTTCGTCAGGAAGGAGTGGGTTTTCCTTCCCACCTCGCTTCCTTCCTCAGTGATACAATCCCTGTGGAGGGAAGGCATGTTCAAATGTCTGTGTTAATAAGTGCCCGTTTACATGGGATTATTTCTGAATGGTAGTTTCGGATGGTGGCTTTTAGAGATTTTTAACTTGTTTTTTTGGGAGGGATAGAGTCTCACTTTGTCACCCTCAGTAGAGTGCTGTGGTACCATAGCTCACAGCAACCTCAAACTCTTGGGCTCAAGTTATCCCCTTGCCTCAGCCTCCCGAGTAGCTGGGACTACAGGTGCTCACCACAACACCTGTCTATTTTTAGAAACAAGGTCTCACTCTGGCTTAGGCTGGTCTCCAACCTGTGAGCTCAGGCAATCCACCCACCTCATCCTCCCACGCCTATAATCACATCGTGGGATTATAGGCATGAGCCACCAGACCTGGCCCTAGAGATTTTTATATTCACCTAAAGTTTAAACAGTTGTTTCTTCATTCAGTAACTCAGCCAAATTTAACAGAGTGCCTGTTACAGGTGGCACGCCTGTCCCTGGGGGCTGCTGTCGTGTGAACATCTTTTATTTCTTCTATAACAGGCTCATGGAAAGTTTCACCTTTTGAGGTTTTAATGTGTTTAGCTACCGTAATCTCTGAAGTTAGCTTTTTTTTTAATTTAATTTTTAGGGGCGAGGTCTTGCTCTGTTGCCCAGGCTAGAGTGCAGTGCTGTCATCATAGCTCACTGCAGCCTTCAACTCAAGAGCTCTAGTAATCCTCTTGTCTCAGTCTCCTAAGAATCTGGGATTGTAGGCACCAGTGCCTGACCTGAATTTACCTTTAAAGGGGCAAAGTGAGAGGAAGAATTTAGAATTAAAAAGAAACTAGTCTGGGGAAGGCAGAAACATTTTAACATGAGTCTTCTTGTAACATTAACAGCATATTTGTTGAATTAAATTCTTATACATGAAAGATTGCTTTTTGGCTTAAACTCTTAAAAAGAAGTAAATATTTTCTGGAGGCAGAGTCTAACCCTTGGTAGAGTGCTGTGGTGTCACAGCTCACAGCAACCTCAAACTCTTGGGCTTGAGCGATTCTCTTGCCCCCGCCTCCCAAGTAGCTGGGACTACAGCCACCTGCTACAATGCCTGGCTATTTTTTGTTACAGTTGTCGTTGTTGTTTAGCTGGCCTGGGTGGGGTTCGAACCCGCCATCCTCAGTGTATGTGGCTGGTGCCATAACCACTGTGCTATGGGCACCAAGCCAAGAAGTAAAATTTTTAAGGGAAATAATAAGCTTAATGAACAATTTTTACTTAGAGCCTGCTTGGTTTAAATGGTCAGACATAGTTGTGTCTAAATCAGTTTATTTCAGACGTTGTTTCTTTTAGGTTTTTAGCTTCAATACTGAAGATTTTAGGAATATCAGTAACTTTTGTGTTAGCTTTGAAAGGTCTCATGAGTCCTGTATTGCATTGTATAAATTACGTGAACATTTCAAAGTTCATTCTAATTTGGAACGAGATCAAATAACAAGTAAACCTTTTTTTTTCTTTCTCTGAATATAAATCCCCACTGGTCCCATCAGGTAATTTCTGTGGAATTGGGCAGCTATTTTGCTCTTGCTAGGGTCCTAGCCATTGCAGGTGTGATTTCAGACCACGAACCTATGGGCACTATAGGCCCAGAGCACTCCCAGCCTAGCAGGACACAGAATAGTGGCTGTGGGGTCTTCCCAGAGCATTCCCACTGCCCCACCTCCCTGGAAGATAGTAGGCTCCAAGTTAAGGTTGTGGAATTGCCCCTGATTTGAAGAGCACCTTATGGCTGGGCCTTGGCCTTCTGTACAGCACTGTTCGTGCCCCATTTTTAATGATGTCTCCATGTAAGTCTTCCCTGTTGTGGCCTCATAGACTGTTGTTCTGGCTCTGGAAGTTAGCTGTGGCACCTCTGCCTGTGGCTGGGTCCTCAAGACTCTCCCTTCCCTCTTCCAGGAGAGCTGAGCTTAGAGTCAGCCACTGACCATGAGACCAGGAGGGAACCAGGGCTGGGGGTGAGAGCAGCCTGTCCTTGGGCAG